CGAGAAAAGTTCGGCGAATGGCTGCGAATGAACGTGAGCAAAGTTCGGTAAATGAACGAGATCAATGTTCGGCGAATTTATTATAACTAATTTGTAATTTGAATTTGAATTTTTTTAATGTTATTTTGTATGTGGCCAGCATTGTATAGACAGGACACATGCTAAAGTAACCGTTCTCTAATCAGTGCTAGGGGGGATAAGTGATTGCGCGATGGAAAGTTAGTAGAGGTATAGTTCTGACAGAATAAAAAAGAACCACCCTCACTCTCCCCGTAGATGTTGTAAGAGGCGACTAAGGTAGAATGAAAGAAATACATAATATACGAACATTAGGCCTCCACTCCATCTGGCCAGTGTGGGGAGTGCTTTTTATGTGTCAGAAGGCAACCCAAATGAGGAGTGTAAGCCAAATGCTCCATTTGCCTGTGATAAAAAAGAGGGTACGCTCCTGCAGTGGAGACTAAATGACTTCAAAGTCTTGATTGTGATTGTGTAGAAGTCTTGAGACTAGATAGTTATGATGATGATGATAAATAATTATCCATTGAAGTCTTGAGACTTAATGGTGACGGTAATTATAATGATGATGGTAGTCTACTCACCGCTCATGCTCCCTTCGGAACGTGTGCAAACAAGTCCGCTTGGTCATGTCCCACACTCGCACGGACTTGTCCTCGCTGTTGGACAGGATGAGCTCGTGACGCGCGTGGAACAACGCGCATGACACGTTGTTGTAGTGCCCGCGGCACGTGTCCACTTCCCACGCCTGGGAATAAAGTTTTGTGATAAGAGACAACGTTTCATATGGATTTCCACAAGGACTTAAGAGAAAAGACTTCCGTAAGACCCGTTTTTATAAATTACTCTTTATTGACGTAAGCATAATTCGGAATGCAACATTTATTGCTTACGCACATATACAATAAGTCTACACTAATGCAAACAAATTCTATTATTATACTTTTTCTTGTAGTTTTTTTTTACTTTCACATTCGGGACTATTCCCACCTCTCGTTCCCACCGCTGCAACTCCTGTGTAGCCAGGATCTACAGCTTGACCGCCAATAAAAACCCAACCAATGAAGGTAAAGTTTGGTTACTTTCACATTCGAGAATAAACAAGTTTCATATCAGTATATGAGAACCACAAATGTAACTTTACACCTGGATCAACATTTATCTATGTACACAAGAAAGTTTCAAGTACAACAGCGTATGTACACTACGTAATTAAACCGCTGTAATTAGGTTTTTATACTTTAAATTCCTAGCCCAAATGTGTAATTAAAACAGGACTGGGAGTCGAATTGTAGCCGCAACGTAAATTGAACTGGTCCGAAACTAGAATAAGAATAAATAAAAAATCTTTCACTTACCTTGGCATCGTTCATCCGCCACAGCTTAACCTGTCGGTCATCGGCAGCAGAGACAATCAACGGCAGCGAGGGATGGAACGCTGCCCAGTTGACTCCACGGTCGTGTCCTTCTAGCACGTGCTTCACCACTGCGTCGGCCTGTAGGGATGGGAGCAGTGAGATATTGAGCCTTTTGAAGGGCATGGTTGAGGGGTTAGTGAGATATTGGGCCTTTTGAAGAGCTCGATAGGCGGATCAGTGAGATAGTGAGCCTTTTGAAGAGGGTGTGAGGGGTTTGTGAGATATTGAGCCATTGTAGGGGATGGTAGAGGGATTAGTGAGATATTGAGCCATTTGAAGGGGATGGTAGAGAGATCTGTGAGACATTGAGCCTTTTGTAGGGGATGGATGAGGGATTAGTGAGATATAAAGCTACTTTTTGGGGGCGGATGAGAAATCAGTGAGATATTGAGCCTTTTGTTGGGAAAGGGTGAAGGGTCAGTGAGATATTTAGCTATTTATTGGGAAAATTTGAGGATTCAGTGAGGTATTGTATTGTGCCCTTTTAGGAGTGCTGAGAAATTTTATATTTCTTGGTTAAATAACAGAAATCATTAAATGTTATTTTAGGCAATAAATATGTACATAAGTTTTATCTGATTTGATATTAATAATGAGGTGAGCGCAATTTCTGAATTTGGTGAAATAGATTGGGACTTTAATTGATCAAGTATAAATAATATGAAAATGGAAACATAGTAATACTGCTACGAAACTATCGAGGATATCATCTGTAAAAGAATCAATGACAAGGATGATGCATTCACAGGCAGGATGATGTAATTATACCTATTAACAACCAACAACTTAGCTATAAACCTAGTTTAACATAACACAAAAGAGTTAGTGGGAAAAACAGAAAGAATAAACTCAATGCCAGTAAATATTTATATGTAGATAAGGAAAAACTATTAAATTAACCAAATGAATAGTAATGATAAAAAAATGAAATTGATTGATAAAATGTTTCAAAGAAATTGATAACATGTTCATTACATTTTTATGCACTATTTTATGAAATTTTATGAAATAATCTATTTTTTTTTTAAATATGAATGAGGTCAATGATGCCAGTTGTAAATTAATGCACTGAAAATATTTTAAAAAAATTATCATGCATTACACAGCTTCAGAAGTACCAAAAATTACCAGTGATGACAAGACAGCCCCAATGATGATGATCCCTGTTTAAAAAAAATAATATCTGTACATACAACCTGTCCAAATAGGTCAGTCGCTTGTGGGTTCCTCAAATGGTCGGCCAAGCCAGCCGGTCCAGGTGCTACGCTCTTCTTACGAAGCCCAGAGAAGTCCCAGACACGGACGGACTGGTCCAGCGAGGCGGAGACCAGTAGATCTTCGGTGGGATGGAACTGTGCGCACATTACGTAGTGGTTGTGACCGGTGAGGACACTGATGCACTGACGAGATTGCCAGTTCCATATCCTTATTGTCTGGAAAGAATTGATTATAATTAGATTTTTGGTCGTACAAAAAATTCTAAGTAGATAAATAACATGGTGATATCAGGAAATGGTGATAGCACCATTTAAATCAATTGAATAGGGTGTGGCTGAAAATATTCAGACATTGTTATACTCATTATTTAAAAACAAAATAGCAATTTTACCATAGCTTACAATTAACAACTATATTTTATTTTCACCTAATGATCAAAAAATTATTTTGACCTGATTACAAAAAGTTAAGCATTAGACTAATAGTTATAAATTACATTTCCATACTAAAGGTAAACTGGATGAGAATGCCTTATGGCATTAAGTTCGCCTAATGTTAAAATTTTGGCATTGAAGTATAAATAAATAAATAAATGTCAATTTGAACCATGGTTCAACTAGAGCAGTGTTTTTCAACCTTTTTCATGACGCGACCCCCCTGGTATGAAAAAATATTTCGCGACCCCCCGACCTCTCGCTTTTTTTTCATGCATTTTATAATGTTACAAAGATGTAGTAGGGACCGAATATTTCAACCCATACAACATTTGGATGGATTTGGATAATTAGATTTCGGATAAATCTATCATTATAACTTTACTGATTCTTTTACTGAGGTAGTTTTTACGACCTCTCGCGACCCCCCTACAGACGCTTGGCGACCCCCCAGGGGGTCGTGACCCACAGGTTGAAAAACACTGAACTAGAGTGTAACTTTTTGTCGTAAGAGGGGATGTGTACAACACATCATTTGAGCTACACTCCCCATGCTTTCTTTAAATTATTTGCTATGGTATTTTTTCTTCTTTCTTTCTAAATATCTTAAATTACTAGTTACATACCTGGTCATCTGAAGCACTCAATATCCATGGGTACTCATGGTGGAAAAATGTTGTGCGAATGTAGTCTAAGTGCCCCAGTAGGGTGAAGAGGCATCTTCTCTGCTTGTAGTTCCATACCTAAAAAAAATATAGTAGTAAACATGAGATAAATTACAAATGGACTACAATATGATTTATTTGACTGTTTATTTACACATTTAAAAGTCTTGAAATATTTCAAGTACTGGTGAGCTTATCTTTATAACTATAAAATATGTATGATTTACTTAGTATAGTTAAGAGCTCTTACATTATATCAAATGTAACAACTTAATAGGATATATGAATCAAATTAAAGTGAGAAAAAAGAGCTCCAATTGGAAAAATCATGGCTATGATGCAAGGAATGCTTTTAAAAACACAAGTGTGATGAAACTAATTGGAAACATTACAAACAAAACTCCTGTCTTGATGACAGGAAGTGTTCCAAATGCCTCAATACTCCTGGAACTGAGTCATAACAAAACATGCAATTTATATTAACTGTTCAAAGATTTATTATGGATGACGCTTCAGTTATCATTTGCTCGACTATCTAAGTAATAATAGCCAACATTAATTGCAGGGACGTGTAAGAAATGACGAAAACATGGCGTAAAGTATCAGTCAACTTTAACGTGTCACAACTCTCCTTACCTTGATCTTATAGTCATCTCCTCCCGACACAAATAAAGGTTGATTACTGTGGAAGCAAATGCCACGTACAGGACCGTCATGCTCATCAAATTTCTCCAGTAAAGTACACATACGGTAATCCCAAAGCTGAATCACCCCATTGTGCAAACTCGCCAAAACCCATGGTCGTTTGGCGTGAAATGATATTCCTTTTACCCTCGCCGATTTTGTCTCGAATTTAGTAAGCATTTCTATCAGGATATGCAGGGGAACTTGGAGGAATTCACATAAAACAGCACCATACAAACGTATAAACCAATTGTCAAATGTCAATCAAACCGGCTGACGTGACACGTCTCCACCAAGCAAAGTCACTGTTCCTTTATTTTTATTATTTTCTCAACACTGCACGAAAACTCATGAAAAAGTATTGAAAACGTAGTTTAGAAATCATTAGTTCCAAAAACTACATAAATCTCAAAAAGAACACGCCCATTCGAAGAATAATGCAACGGCTATACATGCGATTTTATTTATTAGTGTAAGGTATCCGAAATATCCGTATTCGAACATCACTAATCTGATATTATCTGTGGTCTTTTAGAGAACTGTCATTACTGTCAATCAGTAGATGTCAAAAACGAAAGTTTGAAAACATTTACAAAACTTGTTTTTACATGAAAAATTAAAAAAAAACAGCTCTTTTTTCATCAATTCGGTAATTTTTGGTCAATTTTGTTATTAGTAAACGTTCAGAGGTACCTATATTGGACAATCAACCCTTGATACTCTTGGTCAGTCAAAATATAACCTCAATTTACCAAGTCCATCTTCTCAAACATGGATAAGGAAAAGTTAAAAGGAATTGGCAAAATATGTATCCCTGGTATGCGGCTAAGTTTATCTGACGCAGAACATATCTCAGGGCCTGGCACGTATGAATTGAAAGGATACATTTATGCTACTTTGGCGGGAATCTTGAAGACTGAACAGGATGAAGTTGCTAAGGTATTCAATGTAACCTTTTCACTAATTACTCTACAAAATAGTACATAATGCCAACAAACGTTATTTCATTCTCTTCCTTGATAATATTTTTTTTATTTTAATTTCAGGCCACAGTAATATCAGTTGTAAGTCCTAGAACGCCAAGTGTTTTACCCAGAAGTGGAGATATAGTGACCTGCAAGGTGACAGTAGTTAACTCCCGCATGGTACAATGTGTGATCTTATGCGTTGGCTCATCGGTACTGGTCAGGCCATACAGGGGCGTTTTGAAAAAGGAAGACATAAAATCAACAGACAAGGACAGAATAGACCCGTACAAGTGTTTCAGACCTGGCGATGTCATATTGGCTAGAGTTGTATCCTTTAAAATAACTATAGAAACTATTTACTTCTATAAATTCTGGTTTCAAGTTATTGCAGTTTGCAATTCTTGGCCTACTTTGGAGCCTAGAAAAATCACAACCAAAAGATTAAAAAGATAGTTGGGAAGTTATATTTCTTTAATGAGGGCTATCGTTTTAGCGCTCACCAGTTAGCGCCACTGTAGAGTAAGGTCCTGTCACTTGCTAGTAGCGAAGACAGTGGCACCAACTGGTGAGCGCTAAACTGGTAGGAGGACTATCACATTTGCATCATGAAGATGGCGCCACTGTAGAGTAAGGTCCTGTCAATCGCCAGGGGTGCCAGCTGTTAAGTATAAAAACGATAGTCCTCATTGTTGAGATTTGTGTACGTAATTATTATTTTTAAAAATTTATCCTTGACTCTCCACTCAGCTTCCCATGACTGAAATCCACTGGTACCACCTTTCAACAGCAGAAAACGAGCTCGGTGTAGTCATAGCTACAGCCGAGGGCTCTCCCCAAGGAATCAACATGGTGCCCATTAGCTGGTCCGAGATGCAGTGTCCAAAAACCTTGACAAAAGAACCGAGGAAAGTTGCAAGAGTTATTCCTGAAAATATCAACCAAAACTTATTCAATGTCAAAGATAAGGAGAATAAAAACATAGAAAATAAAGAGAATAAAAAATGATTTGCTTGTTCATTAAAAATTATAATTATTATTTTCAAGAATTTCTTATTTTGTGACCCAAAGATCTTTGAAGTATTATGTATTTGCAAAATAAGTGGCCTAATGGTTGCCAAACCAATCAATCCTATCGCACTTGTTGAGATTTATTAATTTCAAATTATTACATTCGTGCGCTTAAACCCATTGTAAGTTATTGGTTATTTCTATCGGAAATAAAAAGCCATGCAGTATTCTCTACCAGTGGACTTTCTATTTTATTACTTATATCATTGTCTGTGGTATTTTGTATTTCCGAACGCAAATGTCAAAATCATCAGATTTCTCTCTGTCAATGTCAATCATCCAAAACAAACGTCATACGATACAACTTTTGTAAATCTTTTTAGAAAATTATCTTTCTAAAGTGTTGTTTTTATTCCATAAAATATTAATTTTAGGTACTGTTGCGCAAAATACATAAGCAAGTTAACCATTCCAATGTTAGTTAGTGTTAGTTTAGGCGCAATGAGGTCATCATTCCTCGGTTATCATAAAACAAACTAGACGGGAAACTACTGCGATTTCAGTATTTGTTGGTGGTCGTTGTGATACAGTCGTGCCTTAGGGTGCCAAGATGAAGTTCGCGGAACACTTGAGTGCTCACATCACGCCTGAGTGGCGGAAGCAATATATTAATTATGAGGTATGTTGAAAATAAAAAATATTTTTTTATTCTGTTCAGAGTGGTCTCCTCAGTAATTTGATGGCCACTGGTTCTTGACACTTTAATCAACTTTAAAGTGTTAATGAGAAGTTAAGGTTTTCTATCAATCAATAGAATTTTTCAATGGAACATGTCAGGCTGTCTCACTTTGCCCTTGGTGATCATACAATTCCAGTTATTCCTAAGAATATCTGTCTTCCCTTTTCCTGTATGGTTATTTGTCATATTGAGTTATTACAGTTGTCCCTGACTCTATTTAAATCTTGTTTGTGGATTGTATGTTTATGCAATTGCACAAAGTTTCCTCTTATCTAAACAGATGAGAATCTGAACTTATCAGTTTGTTTTAGATAGTAAATAGCCTTATTTATCTCCTACTGAAATATTATCAATGAACAAGCTGTTGTTGAGGAGTAAATGTTTTGTTTCCATATGCTTTACCAATAATTTTACTACCAGACCACTATTAAGCTTAACTTTGAACTCTACAATTGCAAATTGCCTCATACACCATTATATTTATGTATTAAGTATTATATCAGAACAATCCAAGCTTTTTATTTACATGACATATTCACAAAACTCCTATTGTTTATTTACAAAATTGTGTTTTCTCTTTTTAACAAAATCATGTAACAACCTTGTTTACAAACAAGTGTATAGCAATGAGTAATTATATATTTTTGTACAGACATGACAAATGGTCAAGATAATGAAATTGCCTGAGCAAGACATTAATATTGGTGTTATAACAAAGGAAGGATTATAATTATCAATATTCTAAATTCATATTATAATACATCTAACTTCTGAATATATTGCTAAGTTGACTGGGATCTCAGGAAGACTCGCCAGAATGCAAAGAAGTAATCATCTGTGGCACCAAAGTTTAAAGGGGTCCACTGTTTAACCTTTTTCATCTGAGGTGGAATTGTGTAAAGTAATCGTTATCATTTGACAGTTCATAACATACGATTATCCTGTCATAGGCTTTGTTTAACTGACTTTATCGTACATTATGAATTGTCAAATGATTAAAATTGCTTTACACAATTCCACTTCTGGTTTCACAGGCACTAGTTTTTACCTTTGCAGCCATTTAAAGACCATTAAACAATCATCCCAAAAAAAATTAAAAGGTCATCAGTTTTGTTATTGCAGTGGACCCATCCTTTTAACACTTTCTTGTACAGTACAAGTTTAGAATTACTTCCCAAATGACACTACTTATTCATATACATTGCCTATGGGAGTAGTGTCAATGTAAAACAAGTAAAAACTATGACGTCTACCTGAACACCCGTGGATGTTACTGTCCATCAATGTGTTAATATACTATTTTACAACCTGTTGCATGTTTTGACCGTCGGTCGTTTGGTGTAGTGTTTCAGAATGGACTACTATGCCGAGAGGTCCCGGGTTCGATTCCCGGCCGGGCAGAATTGAAATGATGAATTTTGATTTCTGTGATGGGGCTGGGTGTTACTATGTATAATAAGTATGTATTTACAAAAAAAAAAGTATTTAAGTAGGTTTATATCCGTTGTCTAGTACCCATAGTACAAGCTTTGCTTAATTGGGGACTAGAAGCGTAGTGTAAAATGTCCAGGGATATTTATTTATTATTCATTTATTTATTTATCTTTTCATCCAACAGGAGATGAAAGCTATGCTATACACGGCGGTGGAGGAGGCGCCGTCAGCTGAGAATGTGGAGCCCGAGGTGCTCTCACGACACTTCGCCAACTTCGACGAGACATTCTTCCATTACTGTGATCAGGAACTCAAGAAAATCAACACGTTTTACTCAGGTATTCAAAGTAAAGTAATTTCATGCAATTATGCACCAATGACATTATCACCTGTTAAATACCTACGTTTTCTGCAAAGGAAACTGAAAAAAGCATTGAAATGTAAAATTTCCTTCTAAGGTGCATAATTGTTTTTGTCGGCCGTTTGGTTTAGTGGTTCAGAACGGACTACTATGCCGAGAGGTCCCGGGTTCGATTCCCGGCCGGGCAGAAATTGAAATGACGAATTTTAATTTCTGTGACGGGTCTGGGTGTTACTATGTATAATATCTATGTATTTAAAAAAAAAAGTATATAAGTAGTATATCCGTTAAGCTAGCACCCATAACACAAGCATTAAGTTGCTTACTTTGGGGCTAGCTGGCGCTGTGTGAAACTGTCCAAAGATTTATTTATTTATTTATAACTAGCTGACCCGGCGAACTTCGTACCGCCTTAGCGTAGAGATTTTCTTAATATTTTTTTCCGTAAGAACCATCCTTGGACTTCCACAAACATTTAAAAAAAAGAATTATCGAAATCGGTTCAGCCGTTCACACGTGATGCCGTGACAACGCGAAACGGGTTTCATTTTTATATATATAGATAAAGCAGATATACTACTGTGAGCACGTGCGATCGGCGCTCGACTTTTTACAAACCCATTGGCGTATCTAGGATTATTCTCCAGGGAGAAGGCCTGGCCCCTGACTTGCCACGTCTGATAGATATGGGGGGGAGTGCAATTAGGATCATAAGCTCACAAGTTAATACTATGCCATACTATCATAATTATGGTAGCCCAACATTCTGGGATGGGCATGTATTTACAAACCAGACGTGATTTATCTTCATAGCTTTAATGCTCAGTAACAGCGTATAATTATATCGTTCTACCATGTATGGAAGACAGTACATGAAACTATATTCTGGGATCTTATATCTTTGAAATAGGTACGATTTTGCAACAATAAATACTAAATAGCGAAGCGCCATAATGGAGATTGCTCGTTTGATATGCCTAAATGTTCTCCACTCCAATGTCCAATATCCAGTCAGTTCAACGTCACCTTTCCCCAGTTAGGGTTGCCAGGTGTCCGGCTTTAGCCGTTGTTAGGCTTTTTATTCGGCTGCCGCGCCAGGCGAAAGTCGAGCCACAGAATAATATGAAGCGCACGCATCAGGACGTTGGGTTGGGCAACCGATGATTATAGGTAGTTAGGTAGTACTCACTCGTGAGCTATGACACTAATTGCCCCCCGTCACATGTCCGGCTTTTAGGGTAAAATGTCCAGCCAAATGTAGCACAGAGTCCGGCTTTTGTGTTTTTGGACCTGGCAACCCTATCCCCAGTTATTGACGTGGAGCTACTCTACTTTAACAAACATTATGAGTATATTGTTCTTAACAAAAGATACCTTAAATCATTTTTCTCTCTCACAGAAAAGCTAGCAGAAGCGACACGAAAATTCGCTACCCTCCAAAGCGAATTGAAGTCTCACTTCGAGACAGTGAAGCCCAAAGGTGGGGGTGACAGCAAGAAGGCCCAGCTCCCTCGCAGAAAGGTGCAAGAGTTGAAACTCGCGTTCAGCGAGTTCTATCTCAGCCTGATTCTGCTGCAGAACTACCAGAACTTAAATTATACAGGATTTAGGAAAATATTGAAGAAGCACGATAAGGTGAGTGCATTGATTTCATATTTAACTAACCAGTGGTTGAGGCCGATTTTAAAATGTTTGTCAGTTGGCACCTCTAGAGACTAAGCGACGGCGAAGCAAACCGCAGAGTACCTGATAGATGACCGATATTAATGAACTGTTATGGTTTCACACCGTAACAACGAATAAGTTTGAGAACCTGTGCGACGTTCGCAAAAAGTATCCCATTTCGTGGTATTTAGATCGCTATGTTGCTTTACATGCAGAGATGGATGTAGCCATATTTTTTTTTCGCGCAGGACCGCTATACGAAACNTTCGAAACATAATCAACATGACTTATATGTATTAGAAAACCGCGACGACGCGAGAGCTAAACTAGCCTTCAACTTCAAGCTATACTCTTCAGTATTGTATTACTGTTTAAAAAGTCGGTAAAAGAAAACTACGAATTTTTTCCTCATATTACTCACTGTTTTGTCAGACCAAAAACAAATAAATGTGGAACCAGCCGGTTCCGCTTTAAAGATATCACATTGAATTATGTATTGACATTATGACTATCAAGATAAGAGAAATCTATTAGTTCTGAATATACCGATAAGCGAGATTAAAGATAATGAAATGTTTTGAACCTATATTTCGTGTAAGTATAGTAAATTAATGCCAACAATGTATTGTTTATACGCTACAGGTATATTGCGTTTAATTGAGTAGGTTTTGCGGTAATGTAAAGGATTCGGGACTCTATTAAGTGACGTAACTAAGCTATCACGTCACTTATGTCTGAACCATAACTGAAGTTTCCCTGATATAATAATATTTCGTGACAATTCCTTTCGATCTAGTTAGGAATGCTTACTCTATTGCTAAGATCCTTTAAGAAAGATGTAGCGTAGGTATCCTTCCGNTACGAAACATAATCGACATGACTTATTTGTATTAGAAAACCGCTTCAGAGAGCTAAACTAGCCTTCAACTTCAAGCTATACTTATCTTCAGTATTGTATTACTGTTTAAAAAGTCGGTAAAAGAAAACTACGAAATTTTTCCTCATATTACTCACTGTTTTGACAGACCAAAAACAAATAAATGTGGAACCAGCTGGTTCCGCTTTAAAGATATCATATTGAATGATGTATTGACATTATGACTATCAAGATAAGAGAAATCTATTAGTTCTGAATATACCGATTAGCGAGATTAAAGATATGAAATGTTTTGAACCCATATACCTATTTCGTGTAGTGTAGGTATAGTAAATTAATGCTAACAATGTCCTATCGCTACAGGTATTGTTTTTTACTGAGCAAGTTCTTGCGATAATGGAAAAATGCAGGAGGGGTGTCATGACGTGACGTAACTAAGTTATCACGTCACTTTTATGTCTGAAGCACAACTGAACTTTCCCTCATATATTTCGTGACAATCCCTATCCGTCTAGTTAGGAATGCTTATGCCCGTTTTCACCATCAATCCCTAATTTTTAAGCGACCCCTATATGGTAACACAACAGGAATTTTGTTTTCAAAGGGGTCACTTAAAAATTAGGGTCTGATGGTGAAAATGGGCATTAGTCTATCGCTAAGATCCCTTATGAAAGGTATAACGTAGGTGCGCGGTTGTGGATCAGTGTGATAGGAAACCGTAAAAACGTTGACACGGTTTACTTAACTGAAGCACAGACTTCTCTCAATATCAGTCTTGCTGATGTTTGACGTAACAAAAGCCTCCAGCGACGGTCAACTATCGCAGTGGTAATATATTTCCCGCCATATTTTTTGTCATATTCCCTTGCCCTACGGTCCAAAACAATAAGAAATTGGAACTTGCTATGATCGTTCGTCGTTTTTATTTCTCGTCAAACTAACTAGCTCACTCTCCCCAGCTGCTAAACGTAAGCAACGGGGCGCAATGGCGAGCTGTCCACGTGGAAACTTCCCACTTCTACACCAACAAAGACATCGATCGGCTCATCAGCGACACAGAGGCGGCTGTTACCAACGACTTAGAGGGAGGAGACCGACAGAAGGCTATGAAGAAACTCAGGGTCCCACCGCTGGGAGAACAGCAGAGCCCGTGGACGACGTTCAAAGTGGGCCTGTTTTCGGGCTCGTTTATTGTGCTGTTTATCACCGTTGTGCTGTCAGGTGAGTGGATTCAATGGATTAATGAGATACCTTACGCCCGTATTCACAAACATTACTATCAGGTCTCACAGTGCGCGTGGACACACAGAGTCGTACACGAACCAATCACAAAGCTCTATTTAACGCTATGCGTTCGATTTGCTGCTTCACTTAAGCAAGCATAGTTTGTGAATACAGGTGTTAATGATGTAACGAGATAAGTTTTTGCCCAGTTCATCATCATCATTTCAGTCACATGACATGTACTGCTGAATATAGGCCTCCCCCAATAATTTCCACATCGCCCGGTTGGTAGCGTCCTTGCCCAGTTTTCCCAGTTGTCGAACCTTAACTTCGAACTCGTCCTATATTCTTCTGATTGATTTGGTTGCGGGTCCAATGACAGTTTAAGTTTCCCCCGGGACAAACTTGACCTTCACTGGTTGCGTTTTTTATTGGCGGTCAAGCTGTAGATCCTTGCTACACAGGAGTTGCAGCGGTGGGAACGAGAGATGGGAATAATCCCATTTTTTCTCTGATGCTAAGGTCGAATGATTCGACCTTAGCATCAGAGAAAAAATGGGATTCGACTCGAATCTATGCATAAACTTGGACCGTTTTATAACTATATTCCTAGTGAGATAGTAATGAATCGCTTTCGTATAACTATGTTACGGTATATAATTATATCCCTAGGGATATAACTATATTACGGCTTTATCTATCTTACTGCGACACATATACAGGCTGTAAAAGAAATCAGCAGGAATAACGTGCATGTAGATATTACATTGTACTAACTTACTAAAATTAAGTAACTATAAATGCCTGTTTTCACCATCAATCCCTAATTTTTAATTATTAATTTTGGTTTTCATAGGGGTCACTTATCCATTAGGGATTGATGGTGAAAACGGGCATAATACTCCTCATAAAAGCTACAAACAAATTCTTATACAGTTACTTCTTTAGTTTACGAAGATACAGTATTAATATTATCTTAGCCAAGGTCCAACTATAGCAATATTAGCACGAAATGTTTATTTCACAAATCCTACAACAAACGGTGGACCGTAAAACATTATCAGATTGCGTACCGCGGATAATCCAGTAATCGCTGTGTCAATGTGTACTTACTGCAAATCAAGTATAATTTAAGTTTGGTTTGCGAATGACCGAGATAATGGGATTATTTTGACCATGGGAAAATTTTGGGAAACTTAGAGATAAAGAACTCATACTAGCTTTTGCCCGCGGCTTCACCCGCATGAAAAGGTTGTCACAGATCGCCATATTTCTCCATATTCTGAGTTATAAAGAATAATACTGTAAAGTTTCATCAAAATCCGTTCAGTAGTTTTTGCGTGAAAAAGTAACAAACATCCACCCAGACACCCAAACTTTTGCATTTATAATATTAGTAGGATAATCTCCATTACAAGAGAACGACCCTCTATATTTCGTATATTTATGGTCATTTAGTTGATTTATGCCCGTTTTCACCATCCATCCCTAATTTTTATGTGACCCCTATGTAAACAAAATTCCTGTATTTTTTACCATAGGGATCACTTAAAAATTAGGGATTGATGGTGAAAACGGGCATTAATCTCCAGTGCAGGAGAATGACCTATATTTACCAGAGGCAAATGGAGGATTTGGAGTACTCCTCAAGACGTGACGGGTTTTGAAGAAACTAAAGTAGCATACAAACTTGATTATACCATGATTATGTGATGATGAAGTTGTTTATTTAACTGCAACACTTACGCCCGTATTCACAAACGATGCTTGATTAAGTGAAGCAGCAAATCGAACGCACAGCGTTGAATAGAGCTCTGTGATTTGTTCATGTGTCACCCTGTGCGTCCACGCGCACTGTGAAACTTCATAGTAATGTTTTTAAACTTTTTAAATACGGACGTTAGATTTTTACAATGTCTCGTACAATAGAACATAAATCTTGAAGTCATGACTAGCGTATATTCCTCTATGAATGAATACTTACTATTATTATGAAGTCACATAATTTTGCTGTCATCAATTTTTGATAAATGACATGGGAAAAGTGGTATTTATTTCTAGCTAGTAATTAATAGGATCTTGAAATGAAACATACACAAAGGGTTATTGTGTAGCTCAATAATAGCTTCAAAACTTTATGTCGATTATCCCGAAAAGCTTCAGAACTAATCCCTTAATCGGATGAGTGATCACCGCTTGACCGAAAACTCGTATAATCTCGCAGGAGTCATAAATAATATTCGAAAAATTTTGCTTTCATAAATCTTCTACCTTATTTACACTACACAAGTATTATTTTACTAACAAATCTTTTTTCTCTTCTAGCGTTATTCCACGAAGGTGCCACAGACAACTTCAAGACAGCTTTCCGATTGTACCGAGGCCCGTTCCTTCTAGTAGAATTCATATTCCTAATTGGCATAAACGTCTACGGCTGGCGGTCTTCAGGGGTCAACCATGTATTAATCTTCGAGTTGGACCCCAGAAATCATTTGTCAGAACAAGATTTGATGGAGCTTGCAGCGATACTAGGGGTGGTCTGGGCATTAAGTATACTCAGCTTTATTTATAGCGCGAGTCTCAGTATACCACCCTTTGTGAACCCACTAGCTCTAGTAGTAATAATGCTGGCCTTTCTTATGAACCCTCTGAAGGTGTTTCGACACGAAGCGCGGTTCTGGTTCTTGAGGATATGTGTGAGTATGCTTTGGTATTATTTATTTAGCAGAACGAAAGCATGTTATATCAGATGGGTTAACGTCTTATGTCTGATGGGAATGCACGACCCGCATTGAGTATCTAGTAGGATATTGTATAGATAGATAGACGTATTTGACAATGCAATTTTATGCATTTGGGTTATGGTCGTGTTAGATTTTCTTTACTACCTGCGAGTATCATCGTTTTATGTCGTCAGTTACAATTTGATTCCCATTACTTTTTTCAAATAATGTGGTTAATATTCTTGAAAAAATTCAGTTATCAATCAGAAAATCAACTCCTTCGAATGGAGATTTTATAAAGTGGGTTTTATAAAATTCCAATGAATTTATTTTATCTACCTTGTAAGTAAATAGGATACACAGTCAGAAACGTCCGTTATTTATTGGCAATCCAACAACATAAAAATGTTCTCATGACCAGGGGCGGATTCTCGCGGCGCCATTCGTGCCAGTGCTGTTCGCTGACTTCTGGCTGGCGGACCAATGGAACTCCTTCGCCAACGCCTTCCTGGACTTCCACTACCTCATCGCCTTCTACGTGGCAGGCGGTGACTGGTTCAGCGTTAACAGTGAGTTCAACACAGTCCGGGACGGATTGAACCAGAAACAATTTTAATACGCACTCTTATGTACATATTTATTTACGACCAAGGTTTACACAATAACACTAAGTAACACTAACGAACCACTTATGCGACTTATTAAAGGATCGAAAATTATTTACAAATATTTCCTTTGACCTGTAACTTATAAAAAGACGAATTTATATTTCTGTATAAACAGCTGGCTCATTTTCGTTTATTAACTGTATAAGTGACGTCAAACGTGGATATTTTTAATGCAAAAATATTGACTTTAGTTGTCACATGATCACATCTCCTATTCGAGACATGCCTCATGCTTCCACTTCTCAACACTAGTATATCAAGTTTTATCGTAGGCCCTAAATGCAAAAATGGTAATAATACTTTTAAAGTTCGTTTCATCCATGAAGACGCGCCCCACCAATTTTGGTCAAAGGAAGCGCGGGGTGCGGGGAGTTTGATCCGAGCAATCCGAGCGTCATTATTGTAGTGTGCGTGTGCACTCATGGATGATTTAGCGTGTACCGATAACACTCAAACATTAGCGGAAGAATGGTGGGGCGCGCCTTCGTGGATGAAACGATCTTTAGCTTCAGTTCGAATGTAGTTTTATCCATCGTTTCTTAACCAGGGATGTTATGGATATCCGTAACCGTAACCGAAACTTTCGGATATCCGAAATAAAAAAATATCCGAAACCGTAACCGATTCAAGTTTCGGATGTAGGCAGTTTAAATTGTTTTTTGTATATTATGTAAAGGCATAACAGCCTGATTTACCTTTATAATGCCATCTAGTATAAATTTTTATTTTTTTATTACCTTTTATTCGATGCAAAGTGTGCGGCCATGAATGAACCGTGCTGAACAGCTATTGCAAATTGCATTCTAAAGCACATATATCCGTAACCGTAACCGAAACTGTAGGATATCCGAAATAAAAAAATATCCGTAACCGAAACCGGTATAATATTATTCTTATATCCGTAACCGTATCCATAACCGAAACTACATATCCATAACATCCCTATTCTTAACACACAACTCAATTACCCAGATGCCTTCGAAACACAACGCTGGTACATAGTGACGCGAGCGGTCGTCAACATAGTCCCGGCCTGGACGCGCTTCTGGCAGTGCCTGCGGCGGTACCGGGACAGTCGCGAGGCGTTCCCGCATCTGGTCAACGCGGGGAAGTACTCCACTACCTTCTTCGTGGTGCTGTTCGCGACGCTACGGGGCATTTATAGCGGTAAGTGTTTGGTGGGAAGTGGGAACTCATTCCCCACTTGCCCTCGACACAGCGCTGGCACTAGTGACGCAAGCGGTCGTCAACATAGTCCCGGCCTGGACGCGCTTCTGGCAGTGCCTGCGGCGGTACCGGGACAGTCGCGAGGCGTTCCCGCATCTGGTCAACGCGGGGAAGTACTCCACTACTTTCTTCGTGGTGCTGTTCGCGACGCTACGGGGCATTTATAGCGGTAAGTGTTTGGTGGGAAGTGGGAACTCATTCCCCACTTGCCCTCGACACAGCGCTGGCACTAGTGACGCAAGCGGTCGTCAACATAGTCCCGGCCTGGACGCGCTTCTGGCAGTGCCTGCGGCGGTACCGGGACAGTCGCGAGGCGTTCCCGCATCTGGTCAACGCGGGGAAGTACTCCACTACTTTCTTCGTGGTGCTGTTCGCGACGCTACGGGGCATTTATAGCGGTAAGTGGGAAATATATTCCCCACTTGTCTTCGATACAGCGCTGGTACTGTCAGCGTCAAATAAGTAGTTCGTGACTCTCAAAGTAGCTAAAACGTTTGCAACACATCCTTTGTTGCAATTGGAATAAGGGTGTGCTTTGTCAACTTTTTGAACACTTTGGGTGTGACGAACTATTGACAGCAATGGTATATAGTTACGGGGTTTTTATGGTAAGTGATTGGTGGGAAGTGGGAACTCATTCCCCACATGCCCTCGACACAGCGCTGGTACATAGTGATAGTGACGTGTGTCGACAACATAGTCTACACACGTCACGTCACGGAGGCGTTCTCGCATCTGGAAAATACTCCACTACTTTCTTCGTGGTGCTGTTCGTGACGCTACGGGGAATTTATAGCGGTGAGTGATTGGTGGGAACATAGTTCCCAGGACTCTTTTGATATTCACAGCAAAGAGAGGAGCTAGCAAAAGGATTGTAAATCTTGTGGACAAAATTCCACAAGAATCTTTCCTTTCATACACTTCCATAACTGTTTTCAACTATTTCGTGGCAGGTGTGACACAAACAGCAAGCAAAGGTGGATCTGGTAATCATTAGGGGAGTCCTACGTTCAGCAATGGACGTGTCCTGGGGCTGAAATGATAGTAAGGAGTATATATGCTATAAACAACCATTTACCACGGTCTGTTTAAAAGTCTGCCTAGAAGGTGGCCGCTACAGATCTACAAAAGAAATGGTCAAACAATTATCTCAGACGAGTACAATTAAAATCTTATAAGTCCTTACGATAGTGACTGAGTTTCTTGCGCTGCTTCTGCTTCTCAGCACTGGCCTATTTATTATCCAAGCAGTAGTAGGATTAAAATACCTGAAAAAAATAATTCAATTTTATCAATTTTAATGAGTTTTATATTGATTTTTAATGCATTTTCAGATCAATACACCGACCCGTACGACAACCCGTTCCTATACGCGTGGTTCGCGTGCCAGCTGGTCTCCTCGTTGTATACCTACACGTGGGACGTGAAGATGGATTGGGGACTGTTCAGCTGCGGACCTAACGCTGAGAACAAGTTTCTACGCGAGGAGATAGTCTACAGCCCCGGGGTGAGTTATTAGCTGCCTTACTGCCAGGTGATAAGGTCGATAGTAGTAAGATCGCGCGGTGTTAATTTGTTACTGATGTAAATTCGTGTAAACGTAAGAGACTAATAATTCCACCTCTCTTTCCATTAATGAAATTAGTGTATAGCCAGGGTCTACAGTTTATCTCCAATGAAACTCAACCAGTAAAAGTTGAGCAGTCCTGGGAATCACTTACTATCAAGGATCCTGCCACGAATTTAATCAGGAGAAGAATATAGGAGGAGTTGAAAAACCTATTTTATTTTATGTAGTAGGTTATAAAATAAAAGTTATAGTTCGTGACTCTCACTCGGCATGGGGCACACTAAAAACTAGCGTGGCCTTCGTCATTGTGGGTCACGGCATAGGCTAAGTAAGGTCCCATCGCTGTTGCGATAAGGTGGGACTGCTCAGCACACCTTCTTTTTCTTTCTTAATATTCTGAGTTTGTTCCGGCGTTTCTTCTCAGCACTTGCCATATGTTCGTCTCGAAGCGCTGGTAGGGCCCAAAAGATAAGGATGTAAAGTGCCCCATAAGGGCTACCTTTTCTTTTTTTATTATTTTCTATTGACGTTCATAAGTGCCACTTGTGGTCTAAACTGAATAAATATTTTTGATTTTGATTATTTGCTACAGTTTTGTCTTTTTTGCCTTTTTGTCTTTGTGATGTCCATCGTAACAAATGTTTCTTTTTCTTCTTTGTGTAATATTTAGGTAGGGTAGGGTAGGGCCTGGTAGAGCCCAAAAGATAAGGAGACATGTAAAGTGCCCCATAAGGGCTACCTTTTTTTTTATTTACTATATTTTGACGAACTAAAGTCGCTGACATAGCCCGACGGATTAGCAAGCTGAAGTGGCAATGGGCAGGGCACATAGTGCGCAGAACTGACGGCCGATGGGGCAGCAAGGTTCTGGAATGGAGGCCGCGTACCGGAAGGCGCAGCGAGGGACGTCCACCTACAAGGTGGACCGACGACATCGTGAAGGTAGCAGGGAAGCGCTGGATGCAGGCCGCTACCAATCGATCAATGTGGAAAGCATTAGGGGAGGCCTATGTTCAGCAGTGGACGTCCTATGGCTGACATGATGATGATGATGATGATGATATTTTGACGTTCATAAGTGCCACCTGTGTGGTCTAAATTGAATGAAATATTTTTGGTTTTGATTTTGATTTCTCCTTCCAGTTCTACTACTTCGCGATAGTAGAAGACTTCGTGCTGCGCTTCATCTGGACGGCGTCGTTCGTGCTTACCGAGAATAAGCTCGTCGGCGCGGAAACCATGATCTCCATTCTCGCGCCGCTAGAAGTCTTCCGGTGAGAAACGAAAATAATCTAAGGTTTTTGCAGCACAAATAAATAAATATAATCATTTATTTGCCTTAAATAGCTGGTTACAGAGCAGTTCTTATTTGATATAATGTTACATAAGACCTATTTAGTCATAGCCTATGACATGCAAATACACTCGGCATCAAATAAATCACACCTCCCGCAACAAGCACTTCTAAAACGTATGCATCCCCACTTCCCACCAACATTGGTTGCATTTGAAAGCCTAGTTTTAACCTTCATTTCATTAAAGGAAAGGTTTTTATCCCAAAAATGTGTTTTAGAAGGATCCAGAGTCACTTCTTGAAAAAATTGGTAGTTACGCTTGAGCCAACTTTTAAGGCTATAAAACTGTTAAGTTGGGATTAATCGCTATCCATCTGTTAAAAAAGACACGTAAGATCATTATTTGGTTCTATAACCACAAAAATTGGTCTAATTGATCCCAGAGGTGAGCCCCAAGTAAGGCCTTTTTTCATGTGACATTTATGGTACCTGTTAATTGTTTATAAAAAATAAAATGTGTTTTTCTTTAAGTTTATTTATTGGGCTTTCAAATAACACCAATATTGTTGGGGCACCATGATTATGTCAGAAGAAAATCTTTAAAGTTCGCGTCGCGGAAGGTGCGATTTATTTGATGTTGAGTATATAAAGAATGGTTACAGACAGAGCAAATAATTAAATTTAAAAGCAGATATTTAACTGCAATCACACCTGTAGGTATAGGATCAGCGCCGCGATAAGCTTTTATCTTACCTTTTTATCGATGTTATATGGATAAGCTCATACATTTGTCATGTAAAATCATCGATAAGATTTTATCACAGCGCGCATCCTAGCTCGGCTATTAAGTGAGATCAACTCTCGCTTTGAAGAAGCCCAGATTATAGTGCTTGGGAAAGATAACAAACAGTAGGCAGTGAATTCTCAGCTGTTCGCATTATAACAGATATTTTTGACGATTTTTATCGAAATAAAAAAAAATATGGAAAATAAAATTGTTTACATTTTTTTTTGATTCTGCTACTCAAATCCAACCATTGTCCCATATTTAAATGGCATAAATACTTTCTACATTCTCTGAAAGATCTCTACCTACCGATGGAACCGTCTAAATGAGGGTTTTCGCGTATGAAAGATCCGCTAGATGGCGGAACGTGTATGTGGGGTCTGACTGCTGCGTGATTGGTGGATTTTGACATGTCTGTCAATGTCATGTCAAAAATAACCTATCATGCAGCATTTGGACCTCGCGTCTACGTATTGCCATTTGGCGGATTTTGCATACGCGAAAACCCTCATTGTGCTGTTTTGATTGTAGTTTTCATGCTTTGTATACTCATAACACCAATCAATTTCCACCCACAGACGTTTCATATGGAACTTCTTCCGCCTCGAGAACGAGCATCTGAACAACTGCGGCAAGTTCCGCGCCGTGCGGGACATCTCGGTGGCGCCGCTCGACTCGTCCGACCAGGCCGACATCATCCGGATGATGGACCATCCGGACGGGGTCGTCAACAGGTGAGATACGTGTTATGTATGAAAACGGTCTTCTTCCGCCTCGAGAAGGAGCATCTGAACAACTGCGGCAAGTTCCGCGCCGTGCGGGACATCTGCCGACCAGGCCGACATCATCCGGATGATGGACCATCCGGATGGGGTCGTCAACAGGTGAGATCGTCGTGTTGAGTACGAAAACGGTATAAAAATCGGTAGAGACACCCCTCTTTATACGTCGAGGGTTAATCATCATCATCACCATTTCAGCCATAGGACGTTCACTGCTGAACATAGGCCTCCCCCAATGATTTTCACTAAGGCCGGTTGGTAGCGGCCTGCATCCAGCGCCTTCCTGCTACCTTTATGAGGTCATCGGTCCACCTTGGTGGTGGGCGTCCTACGCTGCGTTTTTACGTGGCCTCCACTACAGAAATTGCTGCCCCATCGGCCGTCAGTTCTGTGTACTATGTGCCCAGCCACTTCAGCTTGCTTATCCGTCGGGCTACGTCAGACGGATCTCATTTCTGATTCGATCTCGTAAAGAAACAACGAGCATAGCTCTCTCCATAGCACGCTGTGCAACTTTGAGCTTATTTAATCTTGTCATTTTACATTCCGAAGTGTTTACAAAAGCAATATTTTTAAAATGAATTAATTTTACGGTTTATTATCTATCATCCTAAGTTTCACCCTTTTGTTATAGCTTATTTTATTGTTATCAATCCTAAATCAATCTTCTCTTCTAGGCTGACAAAGAAGAAGAATCCAAAAAAGGCAAAAGAGAGCGACCGCAAGCCACTACTCAAGAAAGAATCCATACAGGAGCTACAGCTTGAACTCGGTCTCTCGTCCAAGATGCTCTGAGCTGTGATACCCGCTACGAACACGCTATTGTGGACCTTGGGCGCACGTGATAAGGCCTATCGAGTTTGCACGTCACGGTATTTTGGACTTTATTGCAATTTGGTTGGAGCATGAGTGAGACAAAGATATATCTTTGAGCTATTCTTTGTAACATTCGAATTCGACTGAATTTTGTAGTTAACTTGTGTTTTATGTTCTGGACGTGAGAATCAAATTTGAATGGTCCTTCTGTACTTATTTCTCTATGTACTTAAACTTTTTTACGATTTTGTCATGCTCTTTTTGTTAGAATTACGTACTTAAATGGCCGTGATGGATTTAAGATAGCTTTATCTACATTATAATGTGGTCTAAGTTGATCTGGTAAACATAACTTGAATGCCAAAATTGATTAGAAAAAGAAAGAAAGAAAAGAAAGATTACAAAAGACATGCTGTCCTCTTCTAATACTGAAAGTATGAAGAAGACCGCAACAATTTGAGCTGTGAATTTAGATTTAAGTTTAGATAATTCGTATCGAAATAAGTTACTGTTGTGCCAGACATATCTTGTAGATTTTAATCCTAATTTCATTATTAAAATTGGTTTTCCTTCACTTGTAAGTCTAGAATTAGATTTTTCGTTCATCTTGCTAGAGCTCAGTGTTGTATAGAAATCATAAAAGTCTAATCCATCTATCTCTATTCTCTTACCTTGTCCTGCAAAAATGAACTGAGCTTATAATAATGGGGTTCATTTTTCTGTGTTCTATTTCAAATCTTTGATTATAAGTTCAATTTTGCAATCTACTAAAGTTGATATGCAAAAATGAACTTTGAATAGATTAGGCAAGGATTCAGTTTTGTTTACTAGACCAAACGGGCACATGCGTAGCGCCTTAGGAACGTGAAAAGTGTGACCGTGGCACTATACTATAGCCGCTATAACCATAGTATTAAAATATATTTTTAGAAAGATTCTCTTTGGTTTTATTCTACACTGAAAAATATTTATAAAAGTTAAGTATAATAAGCTAGATTATTTTATGTATTCATGGTTAAATAAGAATTGAGTAAACATTATTTGTAAAAGATTTAAAAGAAAAATATTTTTAATCGGTATAATTTGACAAGGTCTACCTAAACTATTATGCCATTATTTTAAAAGAACTAGGAAAGGGCAATATAATTGAAATAACTATAAACGTTAGTGAATATTTTTATTGCAAAAGTATTCCATTTTTATTAAAGTTTTATTATGTAGATAATAATCAACAAATAATATACTTATAGCAGAACGTATTAGGTACAGGAAAGTGTTGCTGTTTCATTGTATAATAATATTCATATTGGGGTCTAATTGTTTGACTTAAATAGTCATTAAATTAATGGAAACATTTGTTCTTTAAAAGATTTTTTATAACAAATCTTCAAGTTTTAAGTATACACAATGCTTTGAAAAAATCTACATTAGCAATTTGCACTTAATTTTGTACATCTAAGAACACATCAGTTATATTTAAAATAATAACATAATGTTTATAGTTTAAGAATTCAACCAGTATAACATTAATTACAACGAGCCAATTAGGTTACATAACAATAGAATCAAATGTTGAAATTTTTAATTAGTTTCAAACACCATTTGCGATCTCACAATACCAAATTTGTAAAAAACACATTTAAATACTGATTAATTGTTCAATTCGACTTTTTTTTATTAGTTATCTATTGCATTTGCGTAACGAACTCACGTTCGTTACACCATATAAATAAAATTAAAGTATTTGCATATCTATAAAAATCTACGAAGCAGTATTTTAACTTAGAGCATTGTAAAGGTACTCCAATTATTCCCATAAATTATATTTTTAGACAGATCAGTTGCATAACAAGTAAATGAAACATACTAGATAGAAATTAAACAATATTAAGCTCGAAGATGCGCAAATCTCAAAAACGATCACCACTTCACTAGCGCGAACTTAATCGTTACAATAATAATTAATATTTACATAAAGGCGTTTGTTACTCGACTCCTGCGCTCGTTTAACCTTCTTCCAAGTGCCCTGGAAGAAAAACAAAAGAAGATTGAAAAAACAATCGAATATAATAAAAAACCGCAGTCGTATTCAATGTGCCTAAAAACAGTAGAAAAAATAATAAAAGAACACTCAAGGGACTCAACGTCGTTTTAAAAAAGCGTGCTGCTATTTCCATTGTGCCTACATTCATTTACGTAAGTACTACAATAAATCCTCTTTTTTAGATTGCCAAATGCTTAGTAATGTTACAACTTTAGATACCGACTGTAGCTAAATGCAACTTCCCCATTCTGTTCTACGAACGACAATAACATAATTTATGGTCCAAATTAGCGAACTACACGCAATGTCGAGAAGCTGACCCTTAATCATCCTTTTGAGGTCATATGTCAATTAAATTGGCAACGCCGCAATGGACGTTAAGACAAGCAAATAAAGTTCAAAATTTGGTGGGAACTATATTCCCACTGCCTATAAGGGTAGTTTTAACAGGTGCTATTTTACAACAAAAATAAATCTGTATAGATCGTTTCATCCACGAAGACACGCCTCACCAATTTTTGGTCGAGGGAAGCGCGGGGTGCGGGGATCTGAGCAATCCGAGCGTCATTATTGTAGTGTGCGTGTGCACTCACGGATGATTTAGCGTGTACCGATAACACTCAAACATTAGCGGAAGAATGGTGGGGCGCGTCTTCGTGGATGAAACGATCTTACTGTACCTTAAGACCGCAGCGCTTCCGCCGGGAAGTCTTCATCTCGTCGAGTTCTAAGGCTATAATCCCTTGAAGAGCGTCAACAAGCGTCCATACTGATGTCACAACTCCTTCGAAAGTTGCACCCACGGGTCGGCGCATGTTAAATACTAGCACCTTACGCAGTTGTAATAGCGACTATATTGCAACGTCGTACCGCTCTAAGACCACAGCGCTTCCAGCCGGGACTGCATCTCGTCCAGCTCTAAGAAGATAGCTATTCAGGAGCGTCGACAAGCATCCATAATGCCGTCACAACGTCTCCAAAGGCTACAGATACGACTCATCGAACTAAAACGGTAGCACCTTACGCAGCTGTAATAGCGGCTATATTGCAACGTACCGCTCTAAGACCGCAGCGCTTCCAGCCAGGACTACATCTCATCCAGCGACTACTGTTATTCAAGAGCGTTGACAAATGACGTCACAACGCCTTCGAAAGTTGCACCCACGGGTCGGCGCATATTAAACACTAGCACCTTACGCTGTTGTAATAGCGGCTACATTGCAACGTACCGCTCTAAGACCGTAGCGCTTCCAGCCGAGACTGCATCTCGTCCAGCTCTAAGACGATAGCTATTCAGGAGCATCAACAAATGACGTCACAACGCCTTCGAAAGTTGCACCCACGGGTCGGCGCATATTAAACACTAGCACCTTACGCTGTTGTAATAGCGGCTACATTGCAACGTACCGCTCTAAGACCGTAGCGCTTCCAGCCGAGACTGCATCTCGTCCAGCTCTAAGACGATAGCTATTCAGGAGCATCAACAAATGACGTCACAACGCCTTCGAAAGTTGCACCCACGGGTCGGTTATTAGTCGGCATATTAAACACTAGCACCTTACGCAGCTGTAATAGCGGCTACATTGCAACGTACCGCTCTAAGACCGCAGCGCTTCCAGCCTAGACTGCATCTCGTCGAGCTCGCTTTCATCCGGCTCGGGAACCTCTTCCTCTTTGCTGGTGGAGGGCGCGCCGACGGCCGTTGGCGGAGCGGGTGCTTCGCCCAACTTGCCCTGGGTTAATTCCCAGAGGACCTGTAAGAAACAAAACTTAAATTAAAATACACAAGGAACAAATGGGGAGATTAGTTGCATGGGGATAGTCGGTTCTAAAGCGTATTTATTTCTTTAAGGATAGTACACAGCACAATATGAATCTGTAATAACAATATTTTTTAGTAATGTAACATCTTGCAATGTTATTAATACCAGTTATCGCGACCTTTAACGAGTGATGGGACGTAGAGAGGTACCATGGCTTACCAGGGCGCTTCATCTCCTTGCTCAGCTTCAAGACACAGCAAGTGGTCTATGATAGCACATTGTTTGGGGAACTTTGGTATAACAGATCTATTACTTACCAGCCTAACCTAAATAAAAAGAATCACTAGTTGGCTATCGACCAAGTGTAGGAAGGGCGGGTGACTGAATGTTGTGGCCTTAAAAATCGGCCAAGTACTGGGTTGGGGGAAAGATGTGGGTAGTACCCACTGGGTACTAAAAAATCTGCCAGGTTCGGAAATGGGAAAAGGTTGTGGGAACAAAAAATCAACGATGTGCAGGTTGGTGGGGAAGATTATGGGCATAAAAAATCTTCGATGTGTGGGATGGGAGGAAGGTTGTGGACACAAAAAATTGCCATGTGCGAGGGGCACGAGGGTGAAATTGTGACGTCATTACCTTGTCAAGCTCCGCCTGCGCCGCCTCCTCTTCGTCCTCCATGGAGGACATTGTGTCGTCCAGCATCATCTCCTTGCTTAGCTCCTGCATCGTGTGCGCTACTGGCAGCCTGATGAGTGCTAGCACTGTGTGACGTCATTACCTTGTCAAGCTCCGCCTCCTCCACCTCCTCCTCTGCAGCCTGATGAGTGCTAGCACTATGTGACGTCATTACCTTGTCAAGCTCCGCCTGCGCCGCCTCCTCCACCTCCTCCATGGATGACATTGTGTCGTCCAGCATCATCTGCTTGCTTAGCTCCTGCATCGTGTGCGCTACTGGCAGCCTGATGAGCGCTCGCACTATGTGACGTCATTACCTTGTCAAGCTCCGCCTGCGCCGCCTCCTCCAACTCCTCCTCTGCAGCCTGATGAGTGCTAGCACTATGTGACGTCATTACCTTGTCAAGCTCCGCCTGCGCCGCCTCTTCCACCTCCTCCATGTGTACCAACAGATGGCGCTGTCACTACTACACTATGGCACACTCCGCCGCTCATACATACCTGCATCGCGGTGACGGAGTTTTATATCCTGCCAAGTATATATAGACAAACCAAGATGGTGTAAATTGGACCTTGGTCCCCGAGCACAACACCCGCTCGGAAGGAAGCACTAACATCTAACTTCCTTATTGTGGTTGAGCATCATATCCCACATCTCCTTGCTCAGCTCCTGCATCGTGTTCACTACTGGCAGCCTGATGAATGCTAGCACTATGTGACGTCATTACCTTGTCAAGCTCCGCCTGCGCCGCCTCCTCCTCTGCAACCTGATGAGTGCTCGCACTATGTGACGTCATTACCTTGTCAAGCTCCGCCTGCGCCGCCTCCTCCACCTCCTCCATGGATGACATTGTGTCGTCCAGCATCATCTCCTTGCTTAGCTCCTGCATCGTGTGCGCTACTGGCAGCCTGATGAGTGCTAGCACTATGTGACGTCATTACCTTGTCAAGCTCAGCCTGCGCTGCCTCCTCATCCTCCATGGAGGACATTGTCTCGTCCAGCATCATCTCCTTGCTCAGCTCTTGCATCGTGTGCGCTACTGGCAGCCTGATGAGTGCTAGCACTATGTGACGTCANAACATAACTTGAATGCCAAAATTGATTAGAAAAAGAAAGAAAGAAAAGAAAGATTACAAAAGACATGCTGTCCTCTTCTAATACTGAAAGTATGAAGAAGACCGCAACAATTTGAGCTGTGAATTTAGATTTAAGTTTAGATAATTCGTATCGAAATAAGTTACTGTTGTGCCAGACATATCTTGTAGATTTTAATCCTAATTTCATTATTAAAATTGCTTTTCCTTCACTTGTAAGTCTAGAATTAGATTTTTCGTTCATCTTGCTAGAGCTCAGTGTTGTATAGAAATCATAAAAGTCTAATCCATCCATATCTATTCTCTTACCTTGTCTTGCAAAAATGAACTTTGAGCTTATAATAATGGCGTTCATTTTCCTGTGTTCTATTTCAAATCTTTGATTATAAGTTCAATTTTGCAATCTACTAAAGTTGATATGCAAAAATGAACTTTGAATAAATTATGCAAGGATTCAGTTTTGTTTACTAGACCAAACGGGCACATGCGTAGCGCCTTAGGAACGTGAAAAGTGTTGCCGTGGCACTATACTATAGCCGCTATAACCATAGTATTAAAATATATTTTTAGAAAGATTCTCTTTGGTTTTATTCTACACTGAAAAATACCTATAAAAATTAAGGATAATAAGCTAGATTATTTTATGTATTCATGGTTAAATAAGAATTGAGTAAACATTATTTGTAAAGGATTTAAAAAAACATAATTATGTTTAATCGGTATAATGTGACAAGGTCTACCTAAACTATTATGCCATTATTTTAAAAGAACTCTAGGAAAGGGCAATATAATTGAAATAACTATAAACGTTAGTGAATATTTTTATTGCAAAAGTATTCCATTTTTATTAAAGTTTTATTATGTAGATAATAATCAACAAATAATATACTTATAGCAGAACATATTTATTAGGTACAGAAGAGTGGTTGTTTAATATTATAAATAATATTCATATTGGGGTATAATTGCTTGACTATTTAAGTATACTCATAAAATTAATGGAAACTGTTGTTCTTTAAACGATTTTTTATAACAAATCTTCATGTTTTAAGTTTGTAAGTATACACGATGCTTCGAAAAACTACATTAGCAATTTGCACTTAATTTTGTACATCTAAGAACACATCAGTTATTATGAATTTAAATAATAACATAATATTTAAATAGACATTCGACCAGTATAACATTAATTACAAGGAGCCAATTAGGTTTAAACATAACAATAGAATCAAATGTTGCTATTTTTAATTAGTTTTAATTAAACACCATTTGCGATTTCACAATACCGAATAATAATATGTAAAAAAATACATTTAAATACATTGTTCAATACGCTTTTTTTAGTTAGTTTGCGATTGCATTTGCGTAACGTACACAATGTGACGTTATATAAATAAAATTCAAGTATTTGCATATCTATAAAAATCTACGAAGCAGTATTTCAACTGAGAGCATTGTAAAGGTACTCCAATTATTCCCATAAATTATATTTTTAGACAGATCAGTTGCACAGCAAGTAAATGAAACATAGATAGAAATTAAACAATATTAAGCTCGAAGATGCGCAAATCTCAAAAACGATCACCACTTCACTAGCGCGAACTTAATCGTTACAACAATAATTAATATTTACATAAAGGCGTTTGTTACTCGACTCCTGCGCTCGTTTAACCTTCTTCCAAGTGCCCTGGAAGAAAAACAAAAGAAGATTGAAAAAACAATCGAATATAATAAAAAAACGCAGTCGTATTCAATGTGCCTAAAAACAGTAGAAAAAATAATAAAAGAACACTCAAGGGACTCACATTCGTTTTAAAAAAACGTGCTGCTATTTCCATTGTGCCTACATTCATTTACGTAAGTACTACAATAAATCCTCTTTTTTAGATTGCCAAATGCTTAGTAATGTTACAACTTTAGATACCGACTGTAGCTAAATGCAGCTTCCCCATTCTGTTCTACGAACGACAATAACATAATTTATGGTCCAAATTAGCGAACTACACGCAATGTCGGGAAGCTGACCCTTAATCATCCTTTTGAGGTCATGTGTCAATTATATCAATGAAATTGGCAACGCCGCAATGGACCTTAAGACAAGCAAGTAAAGTTCAAAATTTGGTGGGAACTATATTCCCACTGCCTATAAGGGTAGTTTTAACAGGTGCTATTTTACAACAAAAATAAATCTGTATAGATCGTTTCATCCACGAAGACACGCCTCACCAATTTTTGGTCGAGGGAAGCGCGGGGTGCGGGGATCCGAGCAATCCGAGCGTCATTATTGTAGTGTGCGTGTGCACTCATGGATGATTTAGCGTGTGCCGATAACACTGAAACATTAGCGGAAGAATGGTGGGGCGCGTCTTCGTGGATAAAACGATCTTACTGTACCTTCTTAAGACCGCAGCGCTTCCAGCCTAGACTGCATCTCGTCAAGCTCGCTTTCGTCCGGCTCGGGGACCTCTTCCTCTTTGCTGGTGGCGGGCGACGCGTGCTCGACTTGGTAAAGTGCTAGACCTTACGCAGTTGTAATAGCTACTACAATGCAACATCGGTATGTTGCACGGTTGCAGGACGGTTCCTAAGACCGCAGCGCTTCCGCCGGGAAGTCTTCATCTCGTCGAGTTCTAAGGCTATAAGCTCTTGAAGAGCGTCATCAAGCGTCCATATTGATGTCACAACTCCTTCGAAAGTTGCACCTACGAGTCAGCGCATATTATACACTAGCACCTTACGCAGCTGTAATAGCGGCTATATTGCAACGTACCGCTCTTAACCCACTTGTTACGGAATTGACTTTTTCTTGAATTTCTTTACGGAATTGACCGCAGCACTTCCAGCCGGGACTACATCTCGTCCAGCTCTAAGACGATAGCTATTCAGGAGCATCGACAAAATTAAATGACGTCACAACTCCTTTCAAAGTTGCAGCCACGGCGCGTGCTGTGTTATACCCTATCACCTTACGCAGTTGTAATAACGGCTACATTGCAACGTACCGCTCTAAGACCGCAGCGCTTCCAGCCGGGACTGCATCTCGTCGAGCTCTAAGACTTGCTATTCAAAAGCATCGACAAATGACGCCACGTCTCTAAAAGGTACAGTGCAGACACGGCGCATATTAAACACTAACACCTTACTCAGTTGTAATAACGGCTATATTGCAACGTATGTACCGCTCTCAGACGCATCCAGCGACTACTGTTATTCAAGAGCGTTGACAAATGACGTCACAACGCCTTCGAAAGTTGCACCCACGGGCTAGCACTATGTGACGTCATTACCTTGTCAAGCTCCGCCTGCGCCGCCTCCTCCACCTCCTCCTCTGCAGCCTGATGAGTGCTAGCACTATGTGACGTCATTACCTTGTCAAGCTCCGCCTGCGCCGCCTCCTCCACCTCCTCCTCTGCAGCCTGATGAGTGCTAGCACTATGTGACGTCATTACCTTGTCAAGCTCCGCCTGCGCCGCCTCCTCCACCTCATCCTCGTCCTCCATGGAGGACATGGTTTCGTCCAGCATTTCCTCGATGATGCCGGCACGCATCATCTCCTTGCTTAGCTCTTGCATAGTGTGCGCTATCTCTGGCAGCCTGATCAGCGCTTGCATGGCTTGCATGACCTGTAAAAAAAAAATTGTTTAAATTTAGAACCACATTCTTCATTTTTTTTTCTTGGCAACATTGAAGGTAAATGTCGGCCGTTTGGTGTAGTGGTTCGAAACGGACTACTATTCCGGAGGTAGCCGGCTCGATTCCCGCACAGTACAAGCATTTGTGTGTATGAACATATTTGTTTGTATTGGACTGAGTGTTTTCTATGTAAATAAGTATGTATTTACAAAAAAAAAAGTATTTAAGTATGTTTATATCCGTTGTCTAGTACCCATAGTACAAGCTTTGCTTAGTTTGGGACTAGAAGCGCAGTGTAAAATGTCCAAAATGTGGCCATAATACATGACTTGCATTTCCTGTGTGCAAAAAGTTTATAATAATGCCCGTTTTCACCATCAACATCAACCCCAAATTTTTAAATGACCCCTATGAAAACAAAATTCCTGTTATGTGTTACCATACATAGGGGTCACTTAAAAATTAGGGATTGATGGTGAAAACGGGTAGTGAGAAGAGTGGAGTTTAGGCCTCTCGCCCACGGTGACTTTTTGTAGTGATGCTGTCGCGCGTTTCGTAAACAAACGACAGCAACGCTACTACTACGAAGCGAACGTGCGACAGAATCGCTACTGTATCGCTACAAAAAGTCACCGTGGGCGAGGGGCCTTAAATAAAATTAGAATCGCATTCTTCTTTTTTTTTTCTTGACAACATTGAAGGTATGTAAATTAAGAAGTTTGTTATAAGTTTATTATTTTTAAGATTATTTTAGTTTTTGAAAAAAATTTACGTATACATGTATATTTTCGTTATTGAAATAATAGCAGACATTGATGCACTGGGTGGGTATACAACTTATTTTAATGGTTATGAAAAGACAATATAGGATTTTATTTACCTCTGTAGATTTTTGTAATGACCCAGCTACCCGCAATGTGGCTGTGAAAAGAAACATTTCAAAGTCAAATATGTGAAAAAAACACAAAATTGCAATGAAAACGAATATATTAGGGATACAGAGTGAGCTTTGTTGGAGTAGCTTAGTAATGAAATGGTGTCCAAGAAATGGATAAAACTAAATAGGAAGGCGACAAAAGAGTTTAAAAAAAAAATACTACAAAAACTAGTACTTATAATATTAGGTGACTATTTAAGTCACCCAAACACTTATTAAACATCTACTTCTACTACTGCCAGGGCCGTCTTCAACCTACTAGAGGCCCTGGGCACTTAAGGATCAATTATCATCTGGAAAAAGTTTTTTTGAGAAGACGGGGCCCATTCGATCACGGGGCCCTGGGCACATAGCAGTCAGAAAGAGGGGCCAGACTACTACTGCTAATATAAACATCTCAGGACTCTTACATACTAGAATGGAATACTGAGATAGTAAATTCTAATAATACAGTCAAATCCTTACCTAGTTGGTTCTTCATTTGCATCTGAACAGAGTTGAGATGTGCTTTGCTGGTGTATATTTTACTGATCGCCTTACGAGACCTTATGATTTCCTTCGCTAGTATTGTGCACACTTGTTTATCATTCTTTCCTGCAGCTTCTTTCAGTGACTTTTTTATTTTTTCTTCTTCTTGCTGTATACCTATCAATTTAATATAAATAACTTTTCCATTGACATGCTGAACATATTTTCAGGATTAAGCTATGACTAATACCATGAAGGTCACAATAGAAAACAAGATTTCAAGATCNATGTGCCCCGCCCACTGCCACTTGATTTTAGCAATTCTGCAAGCATTTGTGTGCATGAACATATTTGTTTGTATTGGACTGGGTGTTTTCGATGTATAATAAGTATGTATTTACAAAAAAAAGTATTTAAGTATGTTTATATCCGTTGTCTAGTACCCATAGTACAAGCTTTGCTTAGTTTGGGACTAGAAGCGCAGTGTAAAATGTCCAAAATGTGGCCATAACACATGACTTGCATTTCCTGTGTGCAAAAAGTTTACAATAATGCCCGTTTTCACCATCAACATCAACCCCTAATTTTTAAGTGACCCCTATGAAAACAAAATTCCTGTTATGTGTTACCATACATAGGGGTCACTTAAAAATTAGGGATTGATGGTGAAAACGGGTAGGGAGAAGAGTGGAGTTTAGGTCCCTCGCCCACGGTGACTTTGTAAGTTTGTAGTGATGCTGGTCGCGCGTTTCGTAAACAAACGACAGCAACGCTATTACGCTACTACTACGAAGCGAACGCGCGACAGAATCGCTACTGTATCGCTACAAAAAATCACAGTGGGCGAGGGGCCTTAAATAACATTAGAATCGCATTCTTCATTTCTTTTTCTTGACAACATTGAAGGTAAATGTAGCCATAATACACGACTTGCATTTCCTGTGTGCAAAAAGTTTACAATAATGCCCGTTTTCACCATCAACATCAACCCCTAATTTTTAAGTGACCCCTATGAAAACAAAATTCCTGTTATGTGTTACCATACATAGGGGTCACTTAAAAATTAGGGATTGATGGTGAAAACGGGTAGGGAGAAGAGTGGAGTTTAGGCCTCTCGCCCACGGTGACTTTTTGTAGTGATGCTGTCGCGCGTTTCGTAAACGAACGACAGCAATGCTACTACTACGAAGCGAACGTGCGACAGAATCGCTACTGTATCGCTACAAATCACTGCGGGCGAGGGGCCTTAAATAAAATTAGAATCGCATTCTTCATTTTTTTTCTTTGCAACATTGAAAGTATTTAGCAATTTACATGACTGGCATTACCTGTGTTAATAAGTTTGTATTTCTTTTGGTTTCTTTTCGTTTTTGAAAAAATTGCAGACATTGATACAACATAATTATTTTAATGATTATGAAAGACAATATAGGATTTTATTTACCTCTGTAGATTTTTGTAATGACCCAGCTACCCGCAATGTGGCTGTGAATAGAAACAACACATCATAAATTTCAAAGTCAAATATGCAATGAAAAGCAATATATTAGGGGTACAGAGTGAGCCTTGTGGGATCAGGCTGTGGGGCATAGAGGTCAGCTTAGTGATGAAATAGTGCCCAAGAAATGGATAAATCAGATAGGAAGGCGACAAAAGAGTTTATAAACAGATCTAGAAAAAATAAATACTACAAAAACTATTACTTATAATATTAGATGACTATTTAAGTCACCCAAATTCTTAATAAACATCTACTGTTACTTTCTAAATATCTCAGAACTCTTACATACTAGAAAAGAAACACTGAGATAGTAAATTCTAATAATACATTCAATTATATTAAACCTTACCTAGTTGGTTCTTCATTTGCATCTGAACAGAGTTGAGATGTGCTTTGCTTGTGTATATTTTACTGATCGCCTTACGAGACCTTATGATTTCTTTAGCTAGTATTGTGCACACTTGTTTATCGTTCTTTCCTGCAGCTTCTTTCAGTGACTTTTTTATTTTTTCTTCTTCTCGCTGTATACCTATCAATTTAATATAAATAACTTTTCCATTGACATGCTGAACATATTTTCAGGATTAAGCTATGACTAATACAATGAAGGTCACAATAGAAAACATTCTTTCAAGATCAAAATTATTTCAACATTAACTTATAGCAATAAAACTTTTTTAATTAAGTATTTGACCTGAACAAAAGGAAATACATACTACGAATTTGTCTATCCAAATTGTATCCTTCTTTTCGAAGTTTGTGGGACCACTCATTTACCTGGAACATGAACACAGAATTTTAGAGCAAAAATTTACCTTTGCCATAAACACTTCACTGAATATTAATTAAAATACCATTTCCTTAGGATTCCTCTCCGGGGATTTACCAAATAAACCCATTTTATGGCTATTTTCTGAGATAAATTAGAAAATAATTTCAAGTAAAACAAACCAATTTGTTTTGATAGGTACTTTTGACGTTTTTTTGACACTTTTGACAGAAAGTAACATATGATGACCTCATCAAACACAATCCGTAAATTGGAGCGTAAAAGTTTATTTATTTAATCTAAAATGTACATTTTACAAAAAAATACAAGCAAAATGTTTTTTTTTTGTCATAGATAATAATGTAATGAATAATACATTAAATGTATACAATAACTTTAGAACGATTTTTTAGACGTTTATTTACAAACAATTCAAACAAGTATTGTGTTCAAGGGAACATTGCAGAACTTGTTTTTCGTTTAACACAGATACCGTTAAATAGATACGATGATATTATAAATAATTTTCTGTTATTTATCATTCGTAACATAATAAATATACCTAAACAATATTTTTTTTACATTTCTACTCAAAAAAAGATAATTTGTCATTGTAATAGCAGAGAAAATTTGAATACTTTTATTTAGTTATCGTAGAACGAAACGCATTTTAAAACAGGTTCTAGTGTTGCAATCATTGTTCATTTTACCCATTTTTAGTGGTAAAAAAACTTCATCAAGAAGTGTATGTACTATTAATATTTTCATCAGAATTATAATTATTCTAAGAATGGAAAGAAAAAGACAAATTCTTAGAAGAAGTATAACTGCTTAGAATTCTTCTTTTTTTTGTACAAAGGTCTTAGATTCTAAGGCTAAGGTATGAAAAAAATTCACATTTTTATAATGAATTTGATATAATTTTCTTAAAATTACACTAAAATTACTTTCTCTCAATTTTTATAGCAACAGGAGGGCTATTTTACGTAAAAAATATTTTGGGGGTATTTTATGAAAACTGAGAGATTTTTGACAGCTTTTAAATAATGGCAACAAACAAAAAATCCGGCGCAGTGTTTGGAATTTTGGTATTAGCAGTTTTTGAGAAAAAGAAAATTGTTTATTTTCTCGTTTTCTCTATCCTTTGGAGTGACTGCTTCCCTGTATTATCGTGAATAATTCCACAGGAGTTTTATCATACCAAGTAAGTGCTGAATTAATTTATTATTTTCACAAAAATTGCAAGGTTGAACAAACTTCTTTCGATGTCCGCATTTTCAAGAAATCAAGATGCAGTCTTTCGTGTATTATCTGTTCTATAATTATCTTCTACATCGCTTTAACCTGAGCAGTTACCTTGAACTTATAAATAAATGTTATCTTTAAGTTTTTTGTTTCGCCATCTGTTTTTCGCCGTTCGTGTAGGTTACTTCAATATCCGCGATGTAAGAAGCCAAACTTTCTCTGAAAATAACGTGTACCAGTAAAACTGTTGCAATTAATAGATTGGCGAGTATTCGTACATTTTAATGTCTTGTAGGTAATTAATATTGAAATAAAACCTGATTTTGTGATAAAAAAAATGCATTGTACCTATTTATGTAAGTAGGTATAAGACCTAAGTAGCGTCAGTTGATTCTGAACAGATGTGATTAACATTTGGGAAGCGAGACACAGACAATGACCTACATAATACTATTTATACTTGGATAACAATTGCTTCTCGAGGAGTTTGTGTGTATGTAAGTACGTAATATTTATTTCTTTGATAAAACATTATCTGATATTGGTAAATCTGCAGTTAGTCTTAGTTTAAGAATTATTTTTCGAAGGAGTTCACTTATTATTTAGTTGAGTTGAGAGTTCTGTGTATGCTATTGTAATTTTATTCTTCAGTTAAACTTATCTGGAGCGTATTTTAATTGATTTTTTTACTGGTGTCGTTTTTCTTTTAGTTTCTAAAAGATGTTAAAAAGGCATATATTATTTTGAGTATTACAACCTTTTAATCCAATCATATTCAATTGTTATCATAATTTCCTTGAATTTTTATCTGATGTTGCCTTCAATACTCTATCACACTAATTATACTATAGAACATAATAATAGTACATTACAACAATCTTAATTGTATTTAATGTTGTAATGTGCCCGGTACATGTGCACTGTCGTGTCACTGTGTGGTCACATGTAGATGTTATCTATAAAAGTTTCCGTTTTAATTGTATTGCTTTGAAATCTTTATTTGAATTACTTTGTCATATTATTACTTACTAGCAGACAGCAGATACATATTCAGTCAATACTTATTGATTGTTAATGAAAATGTGTGATTTTTTATAGAAACTTAAACTAATGATTACCACTGATTGAAGTTCCTAAATAAAACCCAAAAGATAAAAATCTTTAGTGAAAGTTTTTAAAAGCAGCATTCAACTTTTTTAATAGTAGCTAAGTGTAGATCTGCCTCCAATACTATGAAGAACATTTTTATGTATGGTCAGCGTCAAATAGTTCCTAACACCCAAAGTGGCCAAAAAGTTATCAACACAACCTTGTTCCCATTGTAAGAGTAGGCGCACACCGTTGATTTTTCGTCGGCCGATAGTTTAGTCGGGCAGTTGATCAGAGGTGGAATTGTGTAAAGCAATCGTTATCATTTGACAGTTCATAACGTACGATTATTCTGTCAAACGCTTTGTTTAACTGACTTTATCGTACGTTATGAACTGTCAAATGATTACGATTGCTTTACACAATTCCACCTCTGTATGGGCATGTATGGGAGTGCGCACACTACGCCGATTCGATTTGGCCGATTCTTCATACAAATCAAAATCGGGCACAACTATCGGCCAACTAAAAATCAACGGTGTGCGCCTACTCTAACAAAGGCATGTTACGAACTTTTTGGCTACTTTGGGTGACACGAACTATTTGACGGTAACTGTACCTATCCATAGATTTTAGTTACTTTTTGTTTTTAAAAGGAAATACATTATGTTATGCGACAGTTCGGAACGCCGGTACATTTCGCCACCACCGTACATTTACGGCGTATACGCATACCACTTTGCGAAATGTCCGTTTTATGGTTGCTCCATCCCATGACCTTATCACAAAGGCATAAAGTATAAAATAACTCATACATCTTGTAATTGACCGTCAAATGCGCTCGCGCGTTGACATTACATTGCACAAGCACTTTTTGCATCGGTTGCAGTTTTACTATTGGTTATTGTGTAATGATACTAATTATAATATTATGTTACATACATTTTATTACATAATCTGGATTTTAACGATGAGACCATCAGCAAAATGGAGTAGCAATATCAGTTTACTATTAATCATCGCAAGATTCGCAAGTGTTTCAGGTAGGTCTTCAACAGGTTGATAGAATAGCATTTTTTTATTTTATGTTCAGGCCAATAATACTCCTACAAACTTACGTTGACCTACAAAGCACAAAAAGCCTTTCTTGATTTACGTCAATGCTTATCACTTTCGTCACTCCTAAGTCCTCCTAACCTACATTTCAATGTTTGAACCAAACAGTCAACTAAGACTTGCTGGTTTATTTATTTTCGAATATAATATCAATGCTGGAACTCTCTCTCGCAGGGAAGCGCTGGACGAAGGCCGCTACCAATCGATCAACATGGAAAGCATTGGGGGAGGCCTATGTTCAGCAGTGGACGTCCTGTGGCTGAAATGATGATGATGATGATGATGATGATGAACTCTCTCTAACTCATACCGGTATCAGTACACCTACTGATTCAGATAAAGAAGCTGATAGAGCTATTCTATTGATCATGGGTGTAACCAGCTTCTGGACCAGTCGGGGCCAGTCCATACCTGCTGCGGCAGGTTATGTGGAACTAGAACCTACTAAAAACCTGGGGTGTTACCGCTACCGCATTGTGGTTGTCGTCTTGGGTACTAGAAACCCAAGACTCCTTCCGTGGACGTGGTACCCTAAACGACAGGACTCCCCGCTACTCACAATGGCGGGCCGACGGGGTTAGCCGGAACCACATGGCCAATCCCGTCTGACGGTGTTGATGGCCTGTGGAATGCAGGAGGAAGTGTCTTCTCTCCTCCCCCCAACCTGCTGGCCATCTGGGTAATCTGGCTCAAAGGGGCAACTCAGATTTTTTGGACAAGACACGCTTAGGCCAGCAATACACGGACCGCTTGAAACAGTCAGGGTCGACAGCTTCAAGCTGCGACTGCACAGTGAACCGCAGAGTTCTATGGACGCACATACACGAACCGCTCGAGCAGTTGCAACTGATTCGGGCGGTCGACAGCACGGTGAATTTTCATCGTGCGTGCGGTCAAGCAGTCGCCAGCTAACTGACTGCTCGAGCTGTCGACAGTTCTCGCGCAGTTACCTCCGCCCACTTTCTTCATTCCACGGTGCGCGCGCTTGTGATTTGTTGAGCAGTTAATACCAACTGCTCGAGCAGTTATCACTGGCAGCTTCAAGCTGTTGACTCTTGATCGTATGTTGATCACTGACTAACTGCTCGAGCTGCCCGTGTATTGCCGGCCTTAGCCACTAAGAACGTAAAGCAGCTTTTAGATTTTAGTCACGTACCATTTCCAGGTTTTCGCCTAGAAAAATCTACTGAACTTACAAAGAAATTAATTTTCCAGCTAGAACACTCACATGTAGAGATTGCAATCCGGAATATTCGAAATTCGAAAATATCTGAAAAATCCGGATTTTGAGGCTATAAAAAAATCCGGATTTTGACTTTGAAATCTGGTTTTTTCGAATATTTTTACCTCAAAAATTTTATCATAAAATCATAAACCAAAATATCTATTGAATGCAACATGGATGCGAAACAAGCGAAGTTTTGATTGGACGCACCCGCACTTCGTCGCACAACACTCACACCTGCACTGTGCCTGCACAACGACGCGTCATGCCGCATGCGTAACGTAAGTGAATTCGCTAGTCGGCCAGTGAGTTTTATACGAGACGCTGATTCTGAAACACCATATCGCTGAGTTTTAAAGAGCAGCTAAATCGGCAAATATCCCTTGCAAGTGTAAGTCATCATCATCATCATCTCAGCCATAAGACGTCCACTGCTGACCTTGTGGGTGGACGTCCCACGCTGCGTTTTCCGGTACGCGGCCTCCACTCCAAATTCAAATTATTTATTGCATGTCACTCCAGAACCTTGCTGCCCCATAGGCCACTGCTGAACATAGGCCTCCCCCAATGCTTTCCATGTTGATCGATTGGCAGCGGTC